TCTGTCATGATGCTGTCAACTGGGTCTGGTGCTGAGGATTGTTGTTTTCTTGATACTGAAGGCTGCAGAAGACTGCAGTCCTTGATCTTCTACAGCAAATGCTTCAAGTCCCCCTTAATTCTGGGGAGCAAGGTTGGGGAAACAAAATAATTCTAGTCTCTGAGCTATAGAATTTGGATCCATGTTCTGTAACAAAATATTACTTCAACTTAAGCAGTTTCATTACACAGGCCCTACATACTTGGAGTTTCCCATATTCCCTAAATATATACAGTCCTTCCTATCGGCAAATGGGAAGTCTAATTATGCCTAACTTAATCATGACCCTTAATAAGCAGAGATTCGTATGCTCAGTCATCTTTTCTGCATGTACATTATTCTCTAATAAATCTTATTTTACATTTATTCTGCTTTTGTTCATGGAGGTCACTGTGCATCTATAAGTCACAAACTGTACATGTACAAAAGCCAGTTTACTTAATAACTTTGATATAGATCATTCTTTTGGATATTTTTAAATCAATCTTCTTTCAGTTGAGTTTAATGTACAATTATATATATCTACACTAACACATGAATCATTATTCAAATTTGGCAGAACTGTTTCTGAAATTCCAGAAATTATCCACTCTTAACTCAACTCATTGTTATCGAGTCAGAAACTATTAAGAACTGGCATCAAAGCTCTAAATCACACAAAAGGAGAATGCTCACCTCTCTTCCCTCAAGAGCTGGTGTATTCAAACTGGAAGAGAAGCACAGTCTATGGGTTAGCAGTGAAACTCCCAAATGACTGTGCTGCCAAACTTCACGTGATAGAAATACCTTTTCAGGCAAAGGGAGGAAAAGCTTTTTCGAAAAAACTAAACCAAACCAAACCTGTTATAGGCTATGAACCATACTTTGCTACTCTGTACTATATAAACCCTTACACTTTATATCTTTTCCTGTATCATTATTACAATGATCCTGAAATTATAAGGATTATTGCTGTTTGTAAGGCAAATTATTTTCAATATATTTAATGAGTGAAAGCTGACACATATACATTAACTATCTTAGAAATATCTGTTACAGTAAGTTTTTTAAAATGTTCTCATTATTTACTGGTTAACAAAAAAAATTAAAAGTACTAAAACAAACATTTATTAAAAGCACTAATTACTTTGGTTATTAACTTAATTTTGAAAAAAAAAGAGATGAAAATCTAAAATAACAATATAAAGAAAATTAACACAAGTGCTTAGGCGCAAATAATTTCTACTGGGCACACGACAGGGGAGAATGCGGCAACCTGTGTCCATAAATCCTACGGAATCAGTTCTACCTTATCCTAAATGACTGCTATAAGTCAATTAGACACCAATGAGTTTGGTCAAAAGTCAAATATAAAAATCAAACACTCAGTAGAGTAAGCAGCCCTGATGGTGCAGTGGTTAAAGCAGTCAACCACTACACAAAAGGTTAGCAGTTTAAACTTATGAGCTACTTGTGAGAGAAAGATGAGCAGCCTGCTTCTGTCAAGATTTACAGTTCTGGAAAGCCTATAGGGTCACTATGAGTCAGAATCATCCTGATAGGAAAGGATGCTATTCTGGTTTACGGAAGACTGGATTAGGACAAATACACACAATGAATGGTGTAGTGAGGTTACAGTGAATTTACTTTTCTTCTTTTTGCCCATGTTTTCTAGAATTGTTGTTAGGTGCCGTCAAGTCAACTACAGCCCACAGTGCACCCTGCCCTGTTCTGTGCCACTTCATCTCTGATATACTGGACCTCACTGTGATAGTCACTTTGCCAACTCACCTTGTTGAGGATCCTCCTCTCTTTCTCTGACTCTTCACCTTTCCAACCATGATGTCTTCTTCCAAGGACTTGTCCCTTCTAACAACATGCCCAACCAATGTGCCACTAAGTTTCACTATCCTTGCCTGTGAGAAGCACCATGGTTGAACTTTCTCCAAAACAAAATGTTTGTTCTGCTGACAGTTCATGGAATATTCAGTATCGTTCTCCAACAAGACAACTCAAAGACATTGATTCTTCTTCTATCATTCTATTCACTGTCCAACTTTCAGCTGCATAGCAATAACTGAAAAGACCATTAATTGGATCAGGTTCACCTTTAAACTGGTATCTCTGCTCCCTAGAACTTTGGAAATTTTGGAAAGGTCCCTGACAGTGGATTTACCCAATCTTTAGATTTCCTGACTGACGGCAGAACCCCAAACAAAGGGAAGAAATGCCAAAGCAAAAGAGATAAAGATTCCAAAGAGCAGCTCAAGAAGCTAAAGTAAAATACTGTAGCAAAATGTGCGAGGATTTGGAGTTAGAAAATAAAAATGGAAGATCTCATTAAGCATTTCGCAAACTTAAAGAACTGAAAAACAAATTCAAGCATTGAGTTGCAATGCAGAAGAATGCTAAGGACAAAATAATGAATGATCCAGGAAGCATCAAAAGAAGATGGAGGGAATACACAGTGTCACTGTACTAAAAAGAACTGGCTGACACAGAATCATTTTAGGAAGTAGCATATGATCAAGAACCAGACATGGAACCCTTTTAGGAACACATGATCAAGAACCAATGGTGATGAAGAAGTTTAAGGCATACAAAAAGCACTGGTAGAAATAAGTTTCAGAAACTGATGGGATTCCAATTGACAAGCTCCGAAAAACCAGAATGCAGTCCTAGATATATTTACCAGGCTGTGTCAAGAAGTCTGGAGGACAGCTACCTGGTCAATTAACTGCAAGAGATTGATATTTGCTCTCTTGCCCCAAAAAAGATTCCAAACAGAAATGTGGAAATGACTGAACGATATCATTAATACCATATGCAAGCAAAATTTTGCTGAAGATTACTCAGAAACAACAAGAACACAGACAGAAGTGATAGAAAGTCAAGGTAGATTTAGAAGGAAACATGACACCAGATATATCACTACTGATGTCAAATGGATCTTATCGAAAAGCACAGAATACCAGAAGGATGTTTATTTTTATTTTATTGGCTATGCAAAGGCATCTGTGTGGATCACAACAAATTATGGCTAACAGTGAGAAGCCTCGGAATCCCAGAACATTTAATTGTGCTCATGTAAAACCTCGACCGAGACCAAAAAGCTGTTGTTCTAACAGAAAGAACAAGGGAATGCTGACTTAAAATCAAGAAATGTGTCCTTTCTCCATACCTATTCAACATGTATGCTAGACAAATTATTTAGAAAGTTGGACTTTAAAAAAAAAAAAAGAAAGTTGGACTTTATGAAGAATAATGTGGTATCAGGATGAGTGGAAGCCTCATCAACAACCTGCATTATGGAAATGACACAATCTTGCTCACTGAGAGTGAAGAAGACCTGAATTGCAGCAGATCAAAGACTAGAGCCTTTAATATGGACTACCTTTCACCATAAAATAGACAGATCTTCACCATCAAGAGAGACAGAAATGACTGAAATTGACAATGAGTCCATCTTTCTTGGGTTCACAAATACTTCTGGTACCAGTAGTCAAGAATTTCTATGTTGTTGTTGTTATGTGCCATAGAGTCACTTGCAACTCATAGTGACCCTATGTACAACAGCCCTAAACCCTGCTCTATCCTGTGCCAATCTCACTGTCTCCAACACACTCACCCTGATTGCCCCAGTCACTGAATCAATCCACCTTATAGAGCATCTTCTCCTTCTGTGCTGTCCCTCCACCTTCTCAAGCATGACATCCCTCTCCAAGGACAGGTCCCTCCTTGTAACATGTCCAAAGTATGTCAGATGAAGCCTCAGAATCCTTGCCTCCAAGGAGCAATCTGGTTTAACCCTCTGTAGGATAAACCTGTTTATTCTCTTAGCAGTCCATGGTACATTCAACACTCTTCTCCAACACCACAGCTCAAAGGCATCAATTCTCCTTCTATCTTCCCTAGTCATTGTCCAACTCTCTGATGCATAACAAGTGATTACAAAGACCATAGCCTGTATCAGACACACCTTAGTCTCCAGAGTGACACCAATGCTATTCAGTACTTTGGAGAGGTTCCTAACAGCAGACATTTCCATCGCAACATGTCTTTTAATTTCCTGGCTGCTGGTGCCAAGAGTGTTGACTGTGGAGCCAAGCAAACCGAAGCTGTGAACAATTTCAATCTCTTCACCATCCATCCTGATGCTGCCAATTGGCCCAGTGGTGAGAATCTTTGTCTTCTTGATATTGAGCTCAATCCATATTGAAGGCTGCAGTCCTTGACCCTATGCAGCAAGTGCTTCAGGGCCTCCTCAGTTTTAGCAAGGAGGGTTGTGTCATCTGTCTAACACAGTTTCTTCCATCAATTCTGATGCCACACTTCTCATACAGCCCAGCCTCCCAGATAATCTGTTCCGCATATAGGCTGAAAAGGTATGGAGATAGGACACATCCCTGCCATACATCCTTCCCAATTTTGAACCACACAGTGTTTCCTTGCTCTGTTCGGATGACTGCCTCCTAGTCCAAGTATAGGTTTCACATTAGCACGATCAAGTGTTCTGGGATTCCCATTCTTCTCAGTCAGCCACAGTTTGCTGTGATCCACAAAGTCAAATACCTTTGCATTATCAATGAAACACACACAGACATTCCTCTGGTACTCCCTGCTTTCAGCCAACATCCATCTAACATTGGCTACAATATTCCTAGTACTACGACCCCTTCTAAACCCAGCCTGGACTTCAGGCAGTTCTCTGCTAATGTGCTGTTCCAGTCATTTTTGGCCAATCTTCAGCAGAATCTGCCATAAAAGATTTTCACAATTAAAAAAATTTCCTTGAAAAAAAAATTTTCTTAGAGGACATGATAAAAATTTATAATCTTTCCTGATTACTAAAATTTTCCATTTAGTGTGGACATAAAAGTATTCAGAGCTGAAATTAAGGTTAAGAAAAAAGTCAACTGTTTTATCTTATAGTCTTAAAATATGTGTATAGATTAAACACATAAATTAAACTGCTCAATTACCTGTCTGTTCCGTTCATCCATTATGCGAGTGATTTGTATTTTCTTCCGCCCCATTTTTAGTCACTTTTCCTTCTTTATATTTCAAAAATTTAATATAAGAAGTGTCTTCAATATCCTAATGCATTGTATTCAGCTTCTAGTCCAAGAGCTGCAGCTGAGATGTTCTAGCAGACCTAAAACAAAACAAATTAGAACATCAAATTTCTGTTATGTTTACAAATCATAAAGTAGTTATCTAAATTTTAAAAATGTTTTTATAATAGAAATAATTATTAACTCTAATTTCTACACACCAGGTAGTTTTCGAAATCATTCAACTCTAAGCCTATGCATTAGCTACAATTATCATCTCCAGTTTATAAATAAGGATACTGAGACAGAAATTAAATAATACATCCAAAGTTAAACAGAATTAATAAGAGACACAGTCTAGGATATGAAACCAAGGATTTTAGCTCCAGAACCTTTCCTCTTAAATCATACTAAATTATACCTACATCACTGTTAATTCATACAGGTACTATACATTTCACAAGAATAAGCATTTAAACCAAGTATCCTTTATTTGGTCATTTAATGAGCTCCTTATCACTCAAGATATAATTTCAAAGTCAACACACCAAAGCTCCTAGGTAGCCTAAATCATAGCAGGGGAGGGAAGCAGTGAGGGAGGAAGGGAGGGAGGGAGGGAGACAGAGGGGTGAAAGGAGGGAGGGATGGCTATAGAGAGAGGGGGAAGTAAGGAGAGAGGGAGAGAAGGGTGAGGAGAAGAGGGAAAGAGGGAGAGAGGGAGAGACAGAGAGAGCGCAGGAGAGAGAGCTAGGGAGCAAAAGAACAAGCACGTGAGAGCAGGAGTGTGTGTATATGAGAGGGAGAGAGAGACAAAGACAAGAGACAGAGCGAGCAAGTGAGAGAGAGTGTAAAAGATAAACTGCAAGCTGTCTTTTTTCTGAAACTGAATTCTTCAAGAACACGGATTATATATTTCATTTACCAGTGTAGTATAATTATTTAGTGGCAATAATACAGTCCGTCAATCTTTGAAATGACAGCTGTGGCTCTTTGTTTTCAATACTTAGATATTAAACATAGCTATTTGGAGAAGGGAAATAAATGTTAAAACACAGTAATAAATTACAATGGAATGTCAGTAAGTCCTATTGATAGAATGAAGGCAACCACATATCAGGCATGATTTAAAGTTTAAGGTTAGAGTAAACCTGGCTTCTGTTCAAAACTAGTAATTAAGCTTTATACTTTTTAACATTATCAGCATTATCAACACAGCACTTTAAATATTTCATTGATTCTTTTATTTATACCAAACTTAAATGAACATCTATTAATATCTATACATACAGGAGTATAAATTCTAGAGAGTAGGAAAACAATGTGCAAAGTCTCATTATAAGGAAGAGTATGGAACATCAGACTATCTGAAAGATTATCACTGACATGAAACATTCAAACAAGCAGCTGTGTTTTAGAGTGTTTCCTCAACAGAAGGCAATATAAACAATAGAAGCTGGCTAATTTCAAACCATATTCTCTAGCAGATCACATTATATCCAATTCTCATTATGAAAATTCATAATAGTGGGCATAAATAAGATTAATTTTCACTTATTTCACTAACAGAGTACTAATAAAAGCTGTGTAAAATCTAATGACACTTAAGATTTCTGGTAAATATTCAGGTATTTTGTTTTTGTCAAGGGTGCAGTCAATTGTTTCAAACCAACCTTTTTTGAGAATTAAAAATAAACCACTAGAAAATCTGTGTGCAACACCTTTATTTTAAATACCTCTGTTTTAACACCTCTGTTCTCTTTTACTAGAGAGCTCTCAAGGGAGTTCTGGTGAGGAGCTGCACTGTCAACTTAAAGGCACGTGGTTCAAATCCACCAGCTGCATCAAGGGAGAAAGCTGGGCAGTCTCCTCCCTTGTGATTTACTGCCTCTGAAAACACGATGGTGAGCTATGAGTTGGTTGTGACTGGATAGTACATAGCAACATCAACAACAGAGAACTTTCAAGGCTGAAAATTTGTAGGATCTCGGTCTGATGAAAATAGGTAGCACCAGACTTCAGGCTCATTTCCCCCTGGTGGTTTAGTCAAAAGGGAAATGCACTGGTAACTCAAAGGGCAAGCCTCTCTGGCAGTCTGAATTCACTATCTACTCCAAAGGAGAAAGACAGGCAATCTCCTCTTCTGCTAGCCATGAGTCAGTTCCAACTTAACAACAATGAAAAGTCTGAGAGCCATTATCAGATTAAGAAGCACTGACCGAACTGAGAAGGTAAGCAGAACTTTAAAAGGCAAAAGAACACAATTTAAAAGAAAGAAAAAGGTCCACAATTATAGCAAATTAGTAATGTTAACAGTCTTCTGAGTAACTGAGAGAGTAAGACCAAAACAAAAGACAAGCAAGCTTACAAAAACAGCAAAATATGTAAGCATTTCAACAAACAACCTGACATAAGAACACTGTACCTAAAAACTGTAGAATATAGTTGTGTTACAAGTACAAACAAAACATTTACCAATATGTGCTGGAACATGAAGAATGTCTTAACAAATTTCAAAGGATCGACATGTTTCCTACCCTCAAAAGAACAAAGAAAATGAAGTGATTAACTAAAAATTAACTTTAAAATCCTTACATATTTGAAAACTAAGCAATAAACTTGTAAATAGTTTGTGGGTTAGAAAATAAAAACACATCACATTAAAATTCATGATATAGCCATGGTCACATTTCAGAAAATTTAAAATTAAAAAAATGGGTGAGAAGTAAGAACCAATGTTCTAAGCAACCATATAAAAAGTTACAAAGGGGCAAATAAGATCACAAAATAAAGGTATGAGAAAAACAGTAAAATAAAACCCAAACAAAATAGAGTAAAACAAAACATATTTTCTTGCCCCTAGGAAGAAAAAAGAAACAGTCCAAAATTTAACTTACTCAAAAGATCTTGGAGAAGGTAATAAAGATTAAGACTGTTCATCACATGTGTTCCATGGTGTCATATTATTCAAAATGGTTATTCTAGCCACCAACACTTTCAGCACATGAGTTGGGCAAAGAATATATAACCATTATTAGCTTAGTGAGTTTATGGGACTAGTAAATTTCTCCTATTCCACCAAGTTAAAGAGAGTGGATTTGGCTGCAAAGGTAAGGCTCTTGTTACAAGCAAAGAAGAGGAAGTCAGGAGTGCAGCAGAAATCCTTTGGGGCCAGAGATTCCTGCATCAGTCAGGCTGGATCTACACAAGAGCAGCATCAGCAGAGCATCAGAGGCTAACATGAGGCAGAGTTGACTTGGGACTTGTGTCCCATGGAGTCAGAGCCAAGCCTGGTGGAGGACAGAGTAAGACACAGTAATTGGCATGACTAAACTGTGAAGCAGAAGGTCAAAAGGCTTGAGAGAAGTTGTCCAGACTGAGGAACTGTATCCTACTGCCAACTGGAATCATAACCTGTTAACATCTCGAATAAACTCCATAACTCTGAGTATGGTTCTGTGAAAGCTTTGTGGTCATTCCAATGGACGCTGGACCCAGGAGAGCAGTAAGACTGGTGTTGGAGTCAGTGAAAGCAGTTGCAGGAGTATGGGAGACCATGTCTGACTGTGTAGGAATTGGTTTTGTACAGTGGATGTTGTTGATGGAGACAGTTCTCCTTTGTGGAGTTAACAGAGATCATGTACAGCTGTCTATATGCACACTCTTCTTACAGTCCTGTACACCATCATCATATATTCAAATACTAATATAAACAGTCAACAGAAATCTGACAGTACAGTAAACTACTTATGCTGAAATTAAGTTGTCATGTATACTCTTTGATAAATTACCTCCAATAGCTTCAGGTAAAATAAATTTCAAGCAATTATTTAATCCCACTGATATCTGCAATTAAACATGCCACTTGAAAATACCATAACTCACTTTGTTTCTAACTTTCCTCTTTACCTAGTTTAATTTTCATGTACGTTTTCAATCCATATCCCTATCGTTTCCTGATACTAACCTGACAAAATTCCCAAACTGAAAGATCCATAACTTTATTATTTAATCTCATTTTAAATTCACCCCTGCAGAATCTCAAACATCAAATATTTTTTCATGTTTCTAAGCAAGCTTCCATTTCCTATTTAACTGGCTGATTATCACATTCTCTGTCCTCACCTCCCTAATACAGATCCCTCATACTCAGCCTATAACTCTACTTATTTTACTGACAAAGCAATTGTTGTTATGTGCCATCGAGTCGCTTGCAACTCATAGCGACCCTATGTACAACAGCCCTAAATCCTACTCTATCCTGTGCCAATCGCACTGTCTCCTATACACCCATCCCGATTACCCCCGTCACTGAATCAGTCCACCTCATAGAGGGCCTTCCCCTCCTATACCGTCCCTCCAC